GTTCATTAATGTTATCTGTTTTTCCATAGTCCTGCCAGCATTTGTAATTTTCCTTTTTTGTCAGCTTTGCCAATCTGATGAGTCTCACCTCTGTCTCTTAATAACTATTAGCTTCCTTCAAGGCTCAACTCAGATGCTATCTTAGGAAGCCTTTTCTGATCCCCTCAATTGCCTCTCCCTTCTCAAATTATCTTTCATTTAGTTTTCTGGATACATGTTTTATTCCCCTGTAGAATATAGCTTCTAGAAGGTAGGGACTGGTTTTTCATTTTCATCTTTGCATCCCCAGCACCTTGCACATTATAAGCACTAAATAAATGTTTATGGAATTGTTTAATTGAATTTGATTCAGTGGAACAAAATGTAGCCTTAAGACTACCTTTGGAATTAAAGACAGTGTCTTATCTAAACTTTAGCTCCTCTCATCCCACTATCAGTACCAGACAACAGTGCTTTTGCACATTAGGTGAATATAATTGATTTAGTTAGGTTTCCTGCCCTCATGGAGCTTATAGTAGTATTTGAGAGAAAAGTCATAACATTCATTAATCAGATGTCAGTGTTGAGTGAATCTCAGAATGAATGTTAAGAGACAATAAATGAAACAGAAGTTGATACCCCTGTTAAGTAATAATATCAAAGAAAACTTCAAAGGGAATTTGTATTTTAGGTGAAATGTGAAAAAAATTGCATCCATTTAGGTGAACAAATTCTGAAAACATAATCTGCAAAACATTCTGCAAAACACAGTAAGAGAATAAACATTAAATCAGAGAGTTGCTGTGACAAATCATGTGGCCAAATGAAATGCCCCTGCAACATCTTCATTAGCTAAAACTTAAACAGCCTGTCTCTGCTTTATTGTTTAGTCATTTTTCAGTTGGGTCCAACTCTTTGTGACTCCATTTGGGATTTTCTTGGCAAAGATACTGGAGTGGTTTGCCATTTCCTTCTTCAGTTCATTTTACAAATGAGGAAACTGAGGCAAATAGGATTTAAGTGACTTACCCAGGTTCACACAGCTAGTATCTTCCTGACTCTAGGCCCAGTGCTCTATCTACTTGGCCACCTACCTGTCTGATCTCTGCTTTATAAGCACTTCATTTATCCTTTGCAATGCTGGAGGTACCACCCATCACTATTCTTTCCCATAAAGTTTGATGAAGATTCTGCCTTATTTCAGGGTTAGAAATAGTTTTCGATGTGTATCTGGGGATGGTTCAGACAGTGAAAACAGTTAAAAATGTCAGAGAAGAAATGAACTGTTAGTAGGGCCTAATAATTTTTTTTTGTTTTTTTTTTTTGTTTGTTTTTTGCTTTTTTTTTTTTTGGTGAGGCAGTTGGGGTTAAGTGACTTGCCCAGGGTCACACAACTAGTAAGTGTCAAGTGCCTGAGGCCAGATTTGAACTCAGGTCCTCCTGACTCCAAAGCCAGGGCTGTAGCCACTGTGCAACCTATTTACCCCAATAATTTTTAAGAGAGAAAAAAAATCCAAGGTTTTATGTAACTTTGGGAATCATCTATTTTATTGGGACTCTCGTTTTCAAATCATCCGTGTATCTCATAGCAACTGAGAGAGTCACACCTGTCCTTTCCGCGTAGCATGTAGTAATAAGGCTTGGCAATTGGAGGAAGTTGAGGAGTGGTGCACTGTCTTAGCGCTGTTCCCAAGGGCAGTAAGCACAGCTGTTTTCCTGACTTTAAATGCTCTATGTATCCTAACACAGGTGCTGTTAGGGCACAAAGAGTGAACTGTCCAGGGAGCTACAGCAGGGGCGAAATTTTAAAAATAAACAGAAGGGAAAGAGGGGAGGACGTCAGGGCAAAGTGAAGTGCCAAAGGAATAAATGAGAGACAAACAGGTGGAAGTGTTTTAAATAGAAGCTTCACTGGACTCCTTTTTTTCCCTCCAGCTCATCTTGTAAGTGGAAGGATAAGCCCTTAAGGGGATAAGTTCAGGCTTTCACCACAAAAAAAAAATGAGAAAAGAAAGAATCAGGGAAAAAAACAAAACCCAGAGAAAGGAAAGAAAAGTTTTCCATGAAGAGGGACAAGGATTTCTTTGTCTTTTGGAGTTTTGTTTTGTTTTTTTAAAACTAGTACCTCAAGTGAAAAGTGCTTTCTAACTTGCTCCTTAACCCCTGTACTGACACTTATAAAACTCACTGTGGTTTGCCCTTCATTCTCGAAGAGGACTGTAACATCAGGGAGATGATGACGTGACTTGCAATTGACTTTGACTTCAGTGAGGGATGGCTGTGTAAAGTCACCAGCTTCACTTTCTCCTCCAGAGCCATCTGGGCCCAGTGGCCAGATATCTGTCAGATTGACTAGAGGTGGCCCAGTATAATACTCATTAATGAATTCAGAAAGGCACTGCTTTTTGTATATCAAAGTAAGAAATTCAGGAATAGGGTAGTGATCTGTCTATCTGTGTAGTCAAGGTGGAAGTAATCATTCCTTCATCAGGATATCTAAATAAAAATCAGATGTGTGTATCATAATCAGAATGACATACATGAGAGGAGTGAAATTACCACAGATGGAGGCTGTCCTGGGAAAAGTAAGCCTAGGCAGTAAAACTTGTACTCCTGGTGTGAAATGTTGCCTAAGTACGGCCAGACTTCAATCAGAATTACAAATTATCTGTTTAAATTTACATTTCTAATTTACTTTTCCCTTTTGCTGTTGCTGTTTGTCAAATAACTTCTGGTCATAACTTTGGCTGTCAGTTTCTTTTCCTTGCCTTAAAATGTAAAGTGCCTATTGCTGGTTTCCATAGAATTTTGGTAATTGGTAGTTCTGTTGAATAGCTGCTCAATTTGAAAGGAAAACCTTTGTCTATTTAATTAAAACAAAGATTTTATATTAGAATTCACATATATACATGCAGCAAGGCTCTAGACTTAACCTGTAAGCACTTAGCACTGTGCCTAGAATGTAATCGGTGCTTTCTAGATGATTATTCTCTTTCTTCACCTTTCCTTTTCCCCAATGAGGAGGTCAGGTTCCCAGAGGAAGGGAAGCTAAATCTTCCTTTAGGGTTCTAGGAGTACCAGTGAAGAATGGTGGTGATGGTGGTGGTGGTGGTGGTGATGGTGGATTTCTTCTAACGCTATAGGCTTCAGCACCCATTTCCGTGTGTTGTTCCTTAATATCAATCACCAGTTATATTTAGTATCTTCCCTTATATCAATGACTGACCTAGTGACCCACTACCATTTAACCAACTAACATCAATTAGCTTTTACAAAGACTGGGAAGATAAAGCAAGAAAGTAAATATAAGCGCATCCCACCCAGATGTGCACACTCTCTAAAGCACTTCATTCCTGGGAGGGAGTGGGTTCAAACTTAAAGCAATTGCTTTAAGCAATTGACTTGCCAAATTCGTCCCCAAATATGGCACAGCCGATGGATCAACTCATCCATAAGAGCTTACTCTCTTAGCTGTCATTAATCTATTACTTTGCTGAGTTAAGCAGCTCCCTCCTCAGTGGGCTTGACTGCCAATAAACCCTGGCACAGAATCTGGCCCAAAGACATAAACTAGCCCTTTGTGTTTCTAATACTCCTTCACCCAAAGCAGAGAAGAATAGAACTGGGACAGAAGCAGGGCCATTTGCACGTAGTGCTATGTTGATCCAAATGGGAAAGTAGGCTCCTAGTAGTTTGCAACAGTTATTGCATCCTCACTCAAACCCAGGGAAGGAGGAAAAAGAGAGAACAGTTTGCCCCCATGGGAATTTTTTGATTGCATGCCTACTTCCAGCTCAGGAACCAGTTGAAAAAGTCTTTTTTCACTACTTGGTAAGCAGATATGAAACAACCACCAGCAAGAATATCTGTGTATGCTCCAAAGCCCATGTGAAGGGACTACATCCGTCATAGCACATTGTATAAGCTATACAACCATGGCTGGGCTCGAATTGGTTCAGTTACCCAAACACACATATTAGATTAGCACTTGATTGCATTAGTAGAAGAGAGACTTATCCTTTAAAATTCCAGGATATCTGGGGTCTCAGCAATGTGAGCATCACATCCCATTTCCCTGCTGCAATGTTACATGCATTACTGAACTTTACCTTTTTGATCCTGTTCTTTCTATTCATGGTTTCCTATAAATCATCCTTTGGAAATCCACCCATTGTGCTGGAGGCCTTCCTCTAGATCTGTGGACATTACATGGACACCAGTGAAGCACAAAAATGATCTGTTAGCCTTCACCATTGCTCTGTAAACCATGCCCCTCCTTTTCTTGTCATTCATTTCTTCAATGTTATCTTTTACACTACTTTTCACATGCATGTCCTTATTGGTCATTGGTATTTTTACTCACCATGCATTTCTCCATTGCCCTTTGGGTGAACTGCAATTTTGATTCTTCAGTGATTGTGGCATTCTGTGTTTCAAAGAGCATAGAGCATCATTGGAAGGGTATTGATGCTAAAAATAAACTTTAATAAAAGACAACTAAGAAAGACTTGAGAACTCTGATCATTGCAGTGACCAGAGGACCTATGATGAAACATGCTACTCACCTTCTGACAAAGAGGTGATAAACTCAAAGTATAGAAGGAGAAATATTTTTAGACATGGCCAAATGGGAATTTGTTTTGCTTGATTGCATAATTGATAGAAGGATTTTGTTTTTCTATTCTTCCTACTAGAAATGCTCATCTTATTTGGTGTTTGTTAAGTTCAGTTTTTTTAAAAATTTCAATCATTGTCCCTTTCCATCTAACGGAATTATGTTCATTTATGTCTGTTTTATTTCTTAATTCAGCTAGGTGACAAGCATTATTACTTAGCTATTTGAACATGGTATGGGAAAAGGACTGGAATCAGAAGTCCTGGATTCAAATCCCAGCTCTACCCTCTTTTGTTTGTTTGAGCTTGAATAAATTATTTAGCCACTCTTGGACTCAGTTTCCTCAGCTGTGCCAGCTCTTATGATCCTGTGACCTAATTAAAAATTTTTCCTCAATTTTTTTCAGAGCTGGTGGTTCCAGGATTTTCTTAAGAATGACTTTAGGAAGGGAAATTATGGCCTCTCTTCAATTGAGGTCTTCATCTTCAGCAACCAAAAAAAACTTTTTGAAGTGGGATCTGTCACCAGAACAAATCAAAGCAAGAACTGAGGAGCTCATTCAACAAACCAAGCAGGTGTATGATGCTGTTGGAATGCTTGATATTGAGAAAGTAACATACGAGAATAGTTTGCAGGCACTTGCAGATTTAGAAGTGAACTATGCAGGTGAGTATCAGTGCGTTAGGGCATGTTGCCTTATCTTTATGTAACCCATTACGTTACTCACAAAACAGAAGTAACAAAGCATTTTAAATTAAACTCAACAGAGATTTGGTCAGCATCTACTTCATAAAGCCATTGGGCTTGCACTGGGGATCAGCAGGCAAAATGGGAAATAGCCCCTACCCTCAAAAGGCACACCTTCCATGAGATCAGAGGTTCTTAATCTGTGGTCTGTAAATTTGTTTTTTAAATATTTTGATAACTGTATTTCAACATAATTGCTTTTCCTTATAATTCTTTGTATGTTATTATAAGCATTTAATAGCATCATTCTTGAGAGGAGTCCATTTTGGCTTCACCAGACTGCCATAGGGAACCATGACACAAAGAGGGACCTAGCCTAGGTGGATACTGTATTTACACCAATAAGTAAATAATATTTGAGACTTTACAGATTTTTTAAAAAATTTTGTGCAATAGTTAACTAATCACTTTGTGTTAAATTGTCTTGTGTTCTGTTTTGCCTGCTTATTCATTTTTTAGACTTTTTAGTTTGGTGGTATTCTTTCTAGTTTCTCTCTATATTTGAGGCTGCTCGAAATATGTCTATAGTTGGTAAGTTTGAAACCAGCATAATTTCTTATGCAATTAAAAAAAAAACAACTAACTTTCACCTCCAGGACCCGAGTTCAAAATTCAATCATGACAACTCTTAGTCATCTCCTACAGTGTCTTTCACCACAAATGCACAATGGAGGGTGTTGGGTGTCCATGTTGTTGACTGCCCATTTTAGCAGTGAAAGGAAATTCTAGTTCCATCTAGTTCTTTGTGAATGAGTAAGAGACGAATACCTTTTCAACATTATTGTTTATTTAAAACCATGTTTCTAAATTTAAGTCCATGCCTGTTACATTACTGATTTGAGATCATAAGCCATTTAACTTCCCTTTTAATTTTTTTAAGCTAATGTCAAAAAATCCAATCAAAGTCTTAATTGTATTATTAACCACATGCTTTTAAATGAATATTATGCATATTGAGCTTGATAATCTGTATTTTATTCTTTCTTTGGAAGGGAGAATAAATTTATATTTAGTCAGATCTTAATATCCTAATCATCACAATGTGGTGATGCATAGAGGTGGTTCATTTACTTAGTTATTTACAATGATATTATAAAGGCATTAATAAGGAATATATTTGCTAGGTATCTAGGAAATTTCTCCATATTTTGGATGTATGAGTTTTATTTATTTCACCATTTTAGAGAGAGTGAAAGGAAGGAAGGAAAGAAGGAAGGAAATAAGTATTTATTAAGTACCTACTATGTGCCAGAAACTGTTGAAAGTGCTTCACAGATTTCACTTCATTTGATCCTCACAACCCTCTGGACTCTGCCCTTGAGATGTGTTTGTCTTCTCTTGTCCTCCTTGAGGACAGACTGTCTTGTCTGCTTATACCTGGCAGCTGCCCGTAACATAATTAGTTCTTAATAAATGCTTCCTCTCTCTATGTATCTACTATCAGTGATTTTGCCACAGCATTTAGTCAGAATTAGTTCACGAATGTGTCTTATGTGGGCGGCATGGAGGATCATTGTTTTAGAACCCATGGGAAAAAGATCCTTCCAATCAAGTGCAAGAATTTATGGCACAACACTCTATGCAGGTCATTCACATAACGGTCAGGAGCCAAGCTCGTAATAAATAACTCCTCATCCAAAAATCAGACCCAGTGAAGACCTTTGTCTGCATATCACTGTGTGGGGCCAATAATCATTTTATTTACTTCTGCAATTGTGAGTTTGTGTAGCTGGCCAGTTTTAGAATGGTACTATTAAAAGACACAAGAAAATTCAGCGTCTTTAATATTAGGTGCATGGATGCAGACATTACAACATTTTTACCAAGATTGCATTGGCAATCATTATACAGTTAATTATAATTGAGAAAAGTAGGTGAGAAAACACATTAATGGTTATGATTTTCTAACAGGCCTATATTGTAGTAATGAAGTATGTTATTACTATTCCCATTAACAAGATACAGCATGTGTAGTTCAATTTACACCCTGATATGGGAATATAGGATGAGGCTGGTGATATCACGAATGAAAAGTTGCCTTACACTATACAGAAAAGCAAAAAATAAATTAATAATTGAAAAATAAATTCTACTATAAAACTTCACTAAAAAGGCACCTAGGACATTTTCCTGGATATATTTTTGTTAGATGATGTGAACCCTCACTCTATTCCAAAGATTACATTACATACACAGAAGTCATTAGTAACAAATACTTCAAGATAATGGTGAAATTTCATGGTATATAGTGTAATCCATTGGTTCTAGGACATTGCTCCACAAATGAAACACCTCTTTCTCTTTTGTATTCAGTCTATCCCTCTCTACCAATTCCATTCTATGCTCACATCTCCCCTCACTGTCCCTTGACCCTGATTCTCCAAGTGATTGTAATTTTTCCTCTCCACTTCAAGCTTATAGAATAATTAATCTACATTCTCTGCCTTCACTGCCTCACCACCCACTCATTTCTTAACAATTTCCACTTAAACTCTCATTACTGTCACTCTACTGAAACATCTTTCTCCACAGTCACTGATTTTATCACTAAATTCATTGCTACTTGGTTATTGTTTTGTGTGTTTTTTCCCCATTCTAATCCACCGTGATGTTTTTTCCTTTGGCTTCCATGATTGTGCTCTCCTGGTTCTCTTGTGTAAGTGACATGTCCCTCGCAGTCTTTCACTAAATCTTCATCTTCTGCTTTTCTAAACATGAACCAACAAAATTCTTTCCTTGGCTCTTTCCAAAGGCCAGGAGTCAAAATTATGTTGGAAGTTATGGTTGAGGATTAAAAAACAAAAGAGACCAAAGCCTACTAGGGAACTCGGAAATCTCACATATATATTTCATGGATACTTTTTTTTCCAGAAGTAAATCAGAAGACACTAGACAGCGTGAGCAACAAACAGTATCACACACACAAAAAAATCTGAAACATTATCTGGACAGACAGGAAATCACTGGTTACTAACATGGAAGTCATTTCTGAAACAACTGTCTATGTGTAGTCATACCATCACCAGTTATAACAAGGTGAAAAAATAAAGAAGAGATAACATCCTCAGCAATTACCCCAGATATATCCCCAGATATGGCATAATCCTTAAACAAGCAAGAGAAAGAGCCCAGAACTACCTCAGCCCCCCACCCCCGAAATCTATCTCCTTGTAAGGGGGGAGACATGGAAACCAAAGTCAGTGCTAGTTTAGAAGACAAGCTTAATTGTAAACATTACAGAGGAAGATGCCAGAAGATTCCAAGCAGAATCACCTTACAGAACAGAAAGAGAAGAAAAACAAAACAGTGAAGAGGACAATGGGCCTGCATAAAGCTAGCTAGGGGACCTAACTAGTCAAATCAGCCCAAGATCATTTATAGGTTTACTTAGCCAAACTCCTTGGAAAAAGTTATCTACACTCACTAACTCCATTTCCTCCTCTCCATTCACTTCTCAGCTCTTCGAAATCAGGCTTTTGACCTCATCACTCAATTGAAACTGCTCTTTCCAAAGTTAGTGATCCCTTAATTGCCAAATATAATAGTCTTTTTGAAGTTCACATCCTTCTCAACCTGTCTGCTGCATTTGACATTGGTGACCACCCTTTCCTCCTCAATACTCTTCTCTAGGTTTTCATGACATTCCTCTCTCCAGGCTCTCCTTCTGTCTGTCTGCTTCCCAGTCTCCTTTGCTGGCTTATCATTCACAAGATGGCCCCTAACTGTGGATTTTCCCCAATGTTTGGTCCTGGGCCCTCTTCCCTGGTCCCTCTGTACTTTCTTATTTGGTAACCTCATCAGATCTCATCTCTCTGCAGATCACTATATCTAGATCGTCATATCCAGCTCCATTCTCTGCCCTGAACTTCAGTTCCATATCACTGGTGGTCTGTTGGACATTTCAAACTGGATGTCCCCCAAACACATCTTGTACTCAGTATGTTTAAAACAAAACTCAATATCTTTCCTCCATAAACATTCCTGTCTTCCAAACTTTCCTGTTTCCATTAATAACATCACCATCCTCCAGTCTTCCATGTTTGAAATGTCTGCATTATCCTGTGCTCCTCACTCCCTCATTCTACATCTCCAATCAGTTGCCAGATCTTACCATTTCTACCTTGATATCACTCACATCTGGCCCCTTCTTTCCACTCACACTGTTGCCACTTTAATTTAGACCTTCATCACCTCTTGCATAGATTTTTGTAACAACCTTCTAATTGGTCCCCCTACCTTGTCTGATATCCTTCCAGTCTGTCCCATACATGACTGCCAAAGTAATTTTCACTTCATGTGGATCCGACCATGTAACTCCCCTACTCAAACAGCTCTAGGGGCTTCCTATTGCCTCTGGGACAAAATATAAACTCTGTTTACATACACCTTGGCCCCAACTCATCTTCCTAGGCTGGTTGGACATTGCTCCCCATCCTACACTCTAGTCAAATCTAGTCAAATTAGCCATTCCTCTTTTCTTCACACAAGACACTCTGTCTTTCATCTTTGTGCGTTTGCCCCCATCCATCTCATATGCCTGGAACACCCTTCCTCTTTACCTCCACCTCACAGAGGCCTTCTCTTTCTTTGAGATGAGCTTAAACACCATTTTATACATGAATTCTTTCCTGATTCCTCCCTCCAATTAGTGCTCCCCCTCCCAAACTACCTTAAAGATTATTCTCCAACATTGTACCTCCCATGCTTAGGTCACGATCATATGGAGGTACTGATAAACACCACAGATGTTTGATAAACAAACCTATGTTTGTTGTTGAGGTATTTGCTAAGGTCATTGAGGTTGTCTTATGTAGTCAGAATGGAAGAAGGACTCTTTATAAATGGTAGGAACCTATCGATGGCTCTTTTTTGTAAATGATATATTACTGGGCCTCCTTAATGAAACTTATAAATCACCCCAAAGAGACTTGCTTAATAACTTACACAGTAAAAAAAAAATCACATAAATGACAGATACATAGTGTACAAATTCTGACAAGCAACTGAATAGGAAGCCTATTTATATATGTGTGTGTATATACGTACGCGTATTTGTATATACACATATTTGTAATGTTCTTACATATTTATATGGATTTATATGTGTGTGTATTTCTCTAGGATACATGCTGCAGATGGATATGGAGCTTGCCCTAGAACTAAAAAAGAGGAAAAGTGTGGGCTAGATTGCGTTTGTGAAATTACTCAGAGCTTCCTGTGATCCTAGGCAGCAACTTGACATAAAAACTCATCTTTTCTTTTTCTTTTTGCTTTTTGGTGAGGCAATCAAGGTTAAGTGACTTGCCTAAGGTCACACAGCTAGTAAGTGTCAAACATCTGAGGTCAGATTTGAACTCAGGTCCTCCTGACTCCAAGGCCTGAACTTTAACCACTGTACCACTTAGCTGTCCCTAAAAACTCATCTTTTAATATCAGTGTTCTCCTGATGTTAATATTGATATATCATAGCAATGGACATCATTAAATAGATAATGCTTTAATGTTTGCAAAGTACTTTACAAATATTTTCTATTTGATCCTCATAATAACCTTGAGAGAGAGGTACTATTATTAGCCTCATTTTACAAATGAGTAAGCTGAGGTAGATAGAGGTTAAGTGACTCTTAACCAGGGTCACTCAGCTGGTAAATGTGTGAGGCAGGATTTGAACTCGGGTCTACCTTACTGCAGTTCCAGTGCTCCATCCACTGTGCCATCTCGCTATCTCTAGGATTTTGTCCTGAGTTCAAGTTTCAGCCTTAATTACAAAGAGTGGGGTAAGTAGTGATTAACATTATCATTTAACAATCTGCTTAATTCTCATCTAGATTTTACCTGCCCTCTTAAATTTCATTCCTGTGTCTTAAGATGCCTGCTGAACATCTTTATTTGACTATTCTTCTGTCACCTCAAATGCCAAATGTATAAACTAAACTGATCTTTCCTTTCAATCCAGGTTCCCCTATGGTCTATGGTCATTATTCCAGTCATTCATGCGGAGTAAAATAAAAATTTGTGAACCAGTTACCTAGATCATTTAACCATGGGATTTGATGAGATTGACCAGAAAGACAGAGAGAGAGAGAGAGAGAGAGAGAGAAAGTAAGAGTATGTGTGTAGAGAAGGAAGAGAAAAGATCCCAGGGGAGAACTTTGGGGAGCATCCATATTTAGAAAGCCAAATGGACCCCACAATGATTGATGACATCTAGGAAGTATTATAGTAATCATATCTGTGACATCTCATGCTAGGCCCTGAACTTCCTGGTGCCTTTAATATAACTGTTCCAAGATGGGCCTGACAGTGATCTGCCATTTGCTATTAAGTCAGCACATTTGCTATTAAGCAGAATATTACTGGCCCATTGGAGTGATGTGCAAGCAAAGTTTTTCCCTGATCTCCCAAATTACATAGTAACTCTTCAGAGCTAAATACCAGCTGAAATTTCTTTTTATCATCTCCAGGGCTTTGCATAGTGCCTTCCCCTTGGTAAGCACTAAATGAATGTTCATAGATGATATTTCAGTACATGGAACTCATGTTATATATCTGGTTTCCTTATCATTTTGAGAGCCTTCCCAAATATATAACATGGGAAACAAACATTAAAATAATCATTTGCACTTGTAGAAAACACTTCAGCGTAACACTGGTTGGAAGGGTGTGGCATCACTTAATATTTTTCTCTGCCAACAGTGGAAAGAAGCATGTTGGATTTTCCCCAGCATATCTCCTCTGACAAAGATGTGCGAGCAGCAAGCACAGATGCCGACAAAAGGCTTTCTCGTTTTGACATTGAGATGAGCATGAGAGAGGATGTGTTTCAGAGAATTGTTCATCTACAGGTAGATTTTTTTAATGAAAAAAACAAACAAACAAACAACAAAACACCTCACACCTCATGCATCAGTATAAGATATTTGAATCTGCCAAGAAATCTTATTTTCAGATGCTTGTGATAATGGACATAATTAGCTATATTTATATTGTTAATTAAATTCATTTCAAAGTGAGGACCAAAATTAAAACTGTGTCTTATATATGTATAACTATCAATGTAGGATCTTGTGGGATAAGTTTGTTTTTTCTTTTAATTCAAATCTTCTAAGCATAATATATATTTGTTAGATAGAACCCATTAAAACCTTGACAATGTCAGTCTCCTCTTAGTAAGTACATTGCATTTATAACTTTATAATGGTGACACAGTGTTGATGTTGAAAGCCAGAGTCATTCCTGTATATTGTCCTTACGTTTTGCAGGACTGGCAGGAGTTAAGGATAATGAATGTTCTAGGTGGGTCTGCCTTCAAAGATTTGTTGTTTTGCTTCCTAGCCTTTTTTTTTAAATTTGTCTTTGCTTTTAATATGTAATTCTGTAGTATTTCTATAGTCTGTCCAAGAAACAAAGGCTTTATAGCTCCAATTTTTTGTTCTTTTTGCATGTTTCTTTTGCAAGATCATTGGTATTATTTTGCTTCTTGTAACCATCTCGTGCTTAAAATTGATATAAAACATTTTGTATGAAAATGTTTTTCAAAATCAACCTACTTAAATTACTGAAATATTTTAGTTCTTGCTAAGACTTATGTGGTATTTGTTGTCCTGTGTCACGCAAGTATTTTTCATTCTTTTAAGTTCACAAGCAACCATGGTTTATGGTAGGTTACCCTTAGAACGGTGAAAATTAAACAAATGAAAATCTCATCACCATTGCTATTGGCCAAATTAATTCCTTCTTTTTCTCTTCTTGAACCCTGCCCCCGATCCCACCTCCTTAGAGATGAATTCTTTTTGACTAGGACTGTAGTCTTTCCTAATTTTCATTTTCTGTTTTATCCCATAATATTCCAAGTTCCTATTTGACTGTATTTAGAATACATACTGATGTATTTTAGAAGTGTTTTCCCTAGTGTTTTCTGATTTCCTGTGCTTAACCTGTTTTCATCCTTGTTTCCGAGTTTCGTTTTTTCTATTTAAAGTATACAGTGTTTCACAGGCTTCACATTTTATTTATTGCCCTTATGTTCCTTAGACTGAGATATTTGTTAATATTATCCGTGTATTGGTATTGGGGAAAACAGAGTTGTCATTTTAGATAACCTTGTGACTTCCTTTTTTTTTTTTAAATTTTAAACTTTTAAGGCCTGAACCTGTTAGCAAGGAAGGAATAAACAGAGGCCCTTTTAGTAAATTATTCTGAAGAGTACAGTGGTTATGGGGTCATAGATTTGAAGTTATGATTAGTCCAACTCCCTCATTTTACATGAGGAAATAGACTAAGAAAGGCCAACTGACCTGCTCCAAGTCACATGGGCAGTGTCAGAAGTGATATTTGACCCTAGGTCGTTGGGCTTCAAATTCAGTGCTTGTTATATACTACAATGGTCTGAAAAAAAAAAACAAAAACTCATCCCACAAATTGGTTCTTCTTTGGTGGGCTGATTTACTTCTGGCTTCATAGGAATAGATGAATTTAAAGTTGAGTCCCTGACCTAAATATCCCACATTTAGTTCATCATCTGGTGTCTTCGTGTTCCTTTGCACAAAGATCATTAAATAAAAACATCCAAGACTTACATGTTCTTTCTTACTGTCCTTATAGTCTGGCAACTGATAAGTAACCTGTGTGTTTACTTGATTACTTGTTTTGTTCATCAAATTCTCTCCATTTTAAAGGCTTTGTTTAACACACAGAAACTGCTTGAATTGTTTTGTTTAACTATAACAGTGTGAAATGATGAGCCCAGATTATCTAATAGATTTTAATATCCTTATATATTTTCTACATTCAGTCAAATCCAGTAAATATTTATTAAGTGCCTACTGTGTGCCAGGCACTGTGCCAAGTGCTGGGAATACAATTATTTAAAAGAAAGACAGTCACTGCCCTCAAGGAACTTATAATTCTAAAGAGAGAGATAACATACAAAGTTGGCAAGAAAGAGGGAATAGGGGATGCCAGGGAGCATCTTGTTGCATGGAGTTGAAACCTGGCAGGGCAGCAGATACAAAATGGAGTGAGCTAAAAGTCCAATGCCTGCCTTCTATAAAGGCAGGTATTGGAAGGAGTTTGGTTCTCTACCCTGCAATCAGAGGAGAGAGGAGGCTGAGGGAGGTGGTATCAATCAAGGTTTGAGTTAGCAGCTTGGTGGTGAGTTTAAACATGCTGAGCTTATCCTGGAAAGGGCATTTTCTTGTGTAGACTTGGAACCAGGGAAAGCAGCAGATGCAAAGGGAGTACTATCTCACCATAGCAGTGGTTAAGCTGCAGATTAGAAGGAGTTTCTAAAAATAGACACTTAAAAATGGATTATTCATATTTTTCCTGTAGTATTCTAAGTGAGACAGTAATAGTGAAAATTGTACAATAAAACCTAAAGTAAGTAAGACTAAGAGTAATTTACTATTTTATGGCATTCTCTTTCATCTTCTGAGATTATGATGAGGAGCTTGTGAATACTTCTGATGAAGTCTCAGGATATCACTAATGTCCATTGAAACCAATTGGCTAAATTTGATGCAAAGCTGTTTTAGGTCTTGCTGTACTTTGGATGTAAGTAACAGTTAGAAACACAGTTAAGGATTAATAAAACAAACCTGCTTTTAGCTCCCTTTACCAACACCTGGCTCCTCTGCTCAGTGGGGCAACTACCTTTGTTTATCTCACATTTATAGTACCTATCCACTTGCTTGTCCTATTTTCTTTGCCAGCTTATGAACTGCTGTAGAGCAGAAAGTAGGATTTAGGCTTCTTTGGATAACCCACAGCATTTTGCATACAGAAGGCACTCAATAAATAGTAAATGAATATGTTGAATGACAATACAGCTTTTAAAAAAAGATCTTTTCAGTTTTTTTCCCCAATGGATGTGCTGCTGGCTGAATTTTCTATCGGAATGATTCAACACTGTAACTGCAGTTTATTGAGACAAATTCTAGAATCCCATTCTTGAGAAATTTTTGAAAACCAGTTAGATTTTCCTTTCCTCTGTCTTGTGGGATTTAGGGATGCCCTCTCTTAGGATCACAAAGGTAGAGCTAGAAGGAACCTTAGAGGCCACCTTTTTTTATGTTACCGTCACTTTACAGATGAGGAAACTGAGACCAGGAGAAGTGTCTTGCCCAGAGTCACACATTCAGTAAACTTCAGAAGTAGGATTTGAACCCAGGTCCTCTGATTCCAGGCACAGTATTCTTTCTGGATTAGATGATTTTTAAGATTTTTTCTAGTCCTGTGATTATATACCAATGTTTGGGGAGCATTCACCTCCCAAACATTTATTATGAGCTTCTTTATCTGCGAGTTACTGCCCTAAGCTCTGCCTAACAAGATGAATACCACAATTAATGGTCCCAACTCTTAGAGAATAGTCTCATGGACAAGGAGAATAAGGCATTTACAAAATAAACATAATACCAAATAGAGTGTGAAAGGGCATGAGAGGCACTAAACAAAGTGCTATCATAGTTTATAGGAAGGAGGAAGGAGCACTTTTGTTTAGGGAAATAAAGTTTTTGAAACATGAAACTTGTATATTATTGAGAAATCTTGTTTGTTTTATTTTTGCTAGGCAATGGGGTTAAGTGACTTGCCCAGGGTCACATACCTAGTAAGTATCAAGTGTGTGAGGACAGATTTGAACTCAGTTCCTTCTGATTCCAGGGCCAGTGCTCTATCCACTGTGCCACCTAGCTGCCCCCGAGAAATATAAAATGTTATTGAAGATAAACTTTATCAGTGCCCTGGAAGTAATGTTTGCCCTCAAAGATGCTACAAGTAGAAACCTAGTAGTTGTTAATTTCCTTATGAAGTCCTCAATCAATCAATAAACATTTGCTAAGTACCTACTATGTGCCAGGCACTCAGTTAAATGCTGGTACAGAAAGAGGCAAAAGACAGTCCCTGTCCTGTTTTAAAATAAGAAACTAATCTGACACTAGTTCTTTAAAAAAAATTGTTGCCTTTTTGTTTATGTAACCTGATTTCTAAATTTATTCCTCCTCCCTCCCTATGACAAAGATTTTAAAAAGAAAAAAAAACCACAGTATAACTAAACACATCAAGTGAGACTGTGTAAATGAAATCTTCACCTATAGTCTCTTTCAAAGAAAAGAGAGATCTATTTTTTTTTCATTTAAATTCTGAGGATCATAATTATACTGTTTTGGTTTTTATTCTTTATATTTACATTGTTGTCATTGACTTCCTTTAAATCTCAACTAAAATCCCACCTTCTATAAGAAACCTTTCTCAACCCTTCATAATTTCAGTGCCTTCACTCAGTTAATTATCTCCTATTTATCCTGTATATACATTGTTTTGTATGTATTTGTTTGCATATTGTGTCCCCCATTAGATTGTAAGTTTGAAGGTGGGACTGTCTTTTGTCTCTTTTTGTATCCTTAAGCTTAGAGAGTACCTGGCAGTAGTAGGTACTTAATAAAATGTTTATTGATTGATCTTTTGTCTACTAGGAAATGGCTTTTGTTCTTATATGTTTGTATCAATATCCTCTATTTTAGCTATCAAATCTGTATCAAAGAAATCTGCTACAAAAATTTTTTTTCAGGTAACCATTTCCCTTATGATCCTAACTGCATTACTTTTTTATCTGCAAAATCTTTTTAATTTAATGTAATGGAAACTGTCCATTTTATCTTCTGTAATCATCTCTGTCCTTTTTTGGGGGTTGAGAACTCCTCCTGTATCCATACTTGTGAAAGGTATCTCTTCATTTTTCTTGAATTTTTTTTTTTATGAAGCCATTGTAGTCATTGCTGACAAGCCTGCTGCAAATGATCTTTGGTATGGTTACTTGGTTCCTGAATTTTTACCTTCTGGA